TGTGTGTGTGTGTGTGTGTGTGTGTGTGTGTGTGTGTGTGTGTGAAGCAGGGGATTAATGGAGGTGATATCTGGGGGAGGGGTTTGTCTTGGGGTACCTGGGGTTTTGCGCTCTGGTAGTGTTATTCTGCCGTCAGCGATGGAATTGACGAGATCTTGGAACTCGGCGGGAACCTCCGCCTGCTTCCAGCGCTCGTTATCCAGGAGGAGGCTGCAGGAGACGCACAACAACAAAGAGCTAACGTCATGACCAGGACACACAAAACACACGTGACAGCACCTCTGAATTCATGTGACACAGTTTGGTCTTTAGGAAGGACAACCTCAAAACATAATTCAATTATTAAAATTCATTTTCCACTCGTCTGTTGTGGCAGCGTTGCACTGACGCTCTGACCTGATGTGAAAATTAAAAGCTCTAGACGCCGCTGCTCGACATATTTCGGCTGCAGCTCACCTCAGTTTGGTCTTGCGCTCTTCGTGGAAGCGGTGGACGAAGCGATTGGCCTGGCTCTGTAGCGCTCCCCTCAGGGAGACGCTGCGCCTGCCACACAGCTCCTCCGTGTCCCTGACGAAACCCTCCACCGCCTGAGAGAGACACACGAACTCTGCCGAGCTCAGACGCTCCAGGGAACCATCCTGTCGGAGGCAAAGACAAACTGTTATTCACAAATTCAGTGGTTGTAACTGAAAAGTAAAAATGTGGAATTCAGGCGTGTGCGTCGGACCTTGGCTCTGGCCGTGAGGACTTTGACGCAGCGGTCGTGGCTGATGTCGGACGCCGTGTACAGCAGCTCCTGGATGTTGGTGATCACACGGTTCATCTCCTGCTCAGTGGGCATCACGTTCTCTCCGGACCTGAACGCAAACACAGCGACTGTGAAAGGACTGAAAACCGCTTCATCTATTTCATCTTGTGTGTGTTGAGGGATGTTTTCTACCTTTTGTACAGAGACGTTACATCTAAAGCTAAAGGATCAAACTGTTTTTTCACATTTAAGATCAAATTGAATTGATAATTCTTTAAAAAAATTAATAAAAAGCAGTTTGAAGGTCCAATAATAAAGAAACACGTACATGAGGCTCTGCTCCCGGCAGACGAAGCTCTCTGTGGCCTCACTGCCGGCTGCCTCCGCCCGGCCCTGCTGGATCCTGGAGCCCGTCGCGGAGCTCTGATCCTGGGGCGCTGCCGCCTGCTGCTGCTGGGCCTCGTTCAGAGCGTCGCTGATGAACATCCCCTCGTGGGTGAGGTAGGCCAGCTCTGCCTCCCCCTGCAGGAGCGAAGGATCCTGGGAAGACTCCTGAGCTGAGGCACTGGAACTCGCCTCCTCCAGGAGCCGGTTCTTTTGGTTTGAGTCCAGAACCTCCTGAACCACGTTTCTGATCACGCTCAGCGTCGCCTGACAGACAGAGGGATATTTCATCATCACTTATTATTTAACCGTCTCGTTGCAGAGACCTCAGGCGTGAGCCCTGACTCACCTTGATTCTTTGCAGGAACAGAAGGAAACTGTCAAAGACGCTTTTCAGCAGCTCAAACCACTGAGGGAACGTCATCAGACGCATCTGCTCCGCTAGCCTTGACAGACGTACACACACACACACACACACACACACGTTAAAAACGTATTCATTTTCCTTATTTATAATTAAAATTGCACTAAATGTTAAAACAATTCCTTCTGATGCCGTAACTTTTAAAAAGTGCTCTTGTGGCCTACGTGTAATAAAAATAAATGAATTTATATAGTTAATATTACAGATAATTATTATTATCATCATTATAGTGATGTGGAATTTCATTACAAGCAGCTCCAAAGATAAAAACATTTTCCAGTCACACACAACGTAAACACATGTTCATGTTTCTACTCACTTAGTGACGACTTCAGTGTCGATTTCTTCGATGTGGAAAACACTTTCTGCCACACACTTAGAAACAAGCACGACAACAATATGAACATTTCTTCAACGAGCTGTTAACATGTGAACATCACAGATAAACGTCAGCGTCGTCACCTGAGCTACGATGGCCTTCGCTGCTAAGATCATCTCATCGCTGTAAATGTCCAGAAAGTCCAGCTTCCTTTGTCTCAGAAGACCGAACACCAGCGACCCAAGACGATCCTGAGGCGCACACACGCACACACACATGCACACACACATGCACACACACACGCACACAGGGAAATAGAAAAAAATACTCAGTTCCAATCCACTGAGCTGAAACTCCGCAGGCAGCAGTTTGAGACAGAGGAGAGTTTTCATTTGACATTAATTCAAATTTCTGTCCAACATTCCCTCAGCAACATAATTAAACATAATAAAGACAATTAAAACCAAAGGCTCATTTATGCTGCCTTAGAAAAACAGACATGTCTGTTTCAGTGGCCACATACTTCCATCATGTGTCCTTTACATGTCCTCTACATGTCCTTTACTGCCCCCCCACAGTTTCTGGTGGTACTGCTCTGTTTCGCCCGTATCCAACAAATACAGACAAAATAAATGCAGAGTCCGAAGGCTCCGTCTGTTTCTGTGTACGTATCTAAAGCTGAGCATAAATGAGCCTTTATTCAGGGCCGGGACACATCAAAATATTCACATGTTGACGATTTGAAAAAATCGATTTGAAACTGAATTCAGTAAAAAGGACGAAGAGACAGGAGAAGAATAGAAACAGAAACCCGACCAGGAGCGATTGATTCCAGAAGCCACAGGATTTATAATAAATATTGATGAATGGCTGTTGATTTCAGCTCATAGATGATTTGATTAGTTTCACCTGAACGACTCTGAACAGTTATAACATCAATATTTGATCGATCACTGATCAACATCCTGATCACTGAGTCTGATTTCAGCACCAAAAAAAGGATTTCATGAAGTTCGTGTGGTTCAATCATTTTTGTGTCAGTGGTGTGTGTGTGTGTGTGTGTGTGTGTGTGTGTGTGTGTGTGTGTGTGTGTGTGTGTGTGTGAGTTGTGTGTGTGTCCCACCTTTATGGAGTCAGCGTTTGGTTTTTGAACCTGTGATGAGCACATCACATGTTAAATACATGTATGAACAGCTGAGCTCAACATCATCGACCTTTAACTTCTGAGGACAAAACTGTTGAATGTGTTTTTATGAAGCCTCAGTTTGACATTTTGTTCGGCGCCATCTTGAGGACACTGCACACCCACCTCCACCTGCACCCATTTGACAGTACCAGCTGTCAATCACACTGCCCCCCCCCCCAATCCACTGGTGCTTTCAGGTCAGTTTGACTCTAAATGATCTGAATTGATAAATGAACATCAGCTGTTTGAAGAAGACTTGAAACTAGAGACTGAGACAAAAACCTGTTTGTTTACTGACGTTAACAATCAAATCATTTCTGGAACCAAAGATTATGTATATTTTTTTATAATGACTTAATAATGTGGCCTCATTTGTCACTGCAACATAAAATCCTGCAGCTCAGTGGAAACAACACAACCCTGACTGACAGTGAAGAGAAGTGAAATGTGTGTTTTGTGCAGTGAAACGGTTTTAAAGTGAGAAATCTTTAAAGAGAATAAGAACATTTCTGTTTCTGGTAAAAAAATGTGTCATCATTGATTCTTTTCCACAAGGGTTACCAGTGATTTAAAAAGATACTGACGGCTCTACATGTTTTATTTATTAAACTTTCATTCCTTCAGAAGAAATGTATTTCTCTAAACGTTTTCGAATGTGGTTCTTATTGAACGTTATTAGAATTTGTGAAACATGAAACGACTTCCCTCACTTGTTATGTCTGTTTGGTTGTATCATTACATTCAGACCATTTATTATTTCCACCGGCAGGTTTTAGTATTTGTGACACACATAATGTGACAAACACGTGAGTTAATGACAGGAAACAGTCAGGCTGTAAAGTTGAAACGTGATTTGTGACAGAGGAGTTATTTCAGACCTTCTCCAGAACCTGCGGCTCGTCCCTCAGGCTGCGGCTCAGGTCGCTGCGGGCGTACATGCTGAAGTCCTCCACCATCATCTTGTCAATCAGCTTCTCCAGCTCACACAGCTGTGAGCCGAGATGTCTGAGAGACACAAACACACAGTCAGCTCCGCTCTGACAGATGTGACATCAGCGGTGTTACCGCTCAGTGCTGCAGCTGCAGTTCATGTTCTGACAGGATCAGTCACACTTCAGGCGCATGCACACACACACACACACACACACACACGCACACACAGTAGTCTGTGTCTCCTCACCTGAAGCTGTGGATTCCCTGCAGCTCCTGCTGCAAGACCTCCTTGGTGGTTGCGATGAGCTCCAGTGCTCCGACAAACTCTGAGGTGGAGAGCAGCAGCTGCACCGTGGGCTGCGTCTGATGCACTGCCGCCATCAGCTTCAGCTTGTTGTGCAGCTTCACGCAGTTGTTGCGGGTCAAAGCAGTGCGGAGGGCCTCCAGCGGCCCCTGGCACATGACGCGATCCATGGCAGCGGTTCGACCCCGCAGGATGGCAACGGCCCGCTGCGTCTCCAGCAGCTGGTCCTGCAGCTCGTGCTGCGAGGACATGGCGTGAAAAAAAGCCTCAGAGCGCAGGGAGATCTGGCGGGCGATGCTCACCTCCACCACGTCCAGATAGTGACTCAGCTGCAAAGTAGAAAAAACAACAGATTTCCTCAACACAAAGAAGAGTTGTTTAAAATCAAACGTGGTGGAACGGACTCAGGATACCACCAGCTGATACTTCGGTACCAAAGCACTGACACCTGCTCTCTGCTGTCTGAGGCTGACAGAACCACGGTCAGCAGGTTTGGGTTGATGTGGTGAAAATGTGCTCATAAAACCCGGTGACGTGTGAATTCACCTTCTCCTGCAGCAGTTTGGAGGAGGCCACGTCTCTGCTGCTCTTCCCTCCTGCGCTGGTGAAGTGAGACCAGGGAAGGACGGCGCCGAAGATGGCCGGGTCCTCCAGAGCGAAATCCGGCTTCATGAAGATCTGGAAATTGAAAGTACAGACAAACAGGACACCGTGAGACAACCAGTTAACAGGTGGAACAGAACGAGACACTTTCATACTCGTCCAGGAGAAAGAGAATAAAGTCGGTCTGTTACCTTTGGGACTTGTTCCAGCTCCGCTCTGGACTTTTCTGGAGGAAACAAACAAACAAAAAACTCTGGATCAGTCAGACGTCATTATGACCATAATTAACACATACATGTAAACACAGACTGTTAATTAGAATTTAGAATTAAAACCAACAAAAATCAGCAGGTAAATTAATACGGAAAATAATATTAATAATCACTAGTTCCAGACTGTAAAAATGTATAAGAACAAATAAAATAAATCTATTATCACGATACACTGTCTGACCTACAGCTGTGGACAGATGTGTTTTCACTTTTGTCACAAGAATTAGAAAAAGATATCTGAGTCGTCCAGTAGAGCTCATAAACACATCTGGTTATTATGAGCTCTACTTCCTGTGATAAAAATATATGAAAGACAACATCGTGAGAGAAGCTTCAGCGATCATTGATTTCTAGTCAACAATCAATCAGTGTTCATGAGTTCTCTGGTGTTTTTATGGACTGAGGAGGACGTGGGCAGGGAGAGTCCTGTGACAGCTGCAGGTTAATAATTAATACCGTGGTTGGTGGTGATACTGGAGACGGCGTCCACGTCGTCTTTGTTCGGACAGATCGTCTTGCAGCGCTCGTGGATTTTTTCCCTCTTAAAAAAGAAAACATGGAAAAACAAAAGGGTCAAAGCGATTTGACTAGAACTGACTTTTTCATCATTGTAGCATTTTGCTCGTTGCACAGCAGAAAACAAATCTGCTTTCCTCTGAGCTTCACCTCAAGTGAGGAAGTAAAGCTGCTCAGTCAAGAGAAAATAAAGCAGCACACAGGAATCAGGAAGTATCGTGTCTCCATTGACTCTGTGACATCTCTCTAAAACCTGAGGGAGGAAATAATTACTTGACTTTTTTAAAATCCTGACGGAACAGAAAGACGATGTTCCAGGTCACATAAGCTGATTTCAAACGACCTGTGGACGAAGTCTGGAGAATTGGGTCCAGACCCGTAGTTTGCTTTTACACACATGCACATTGCAGCGAGCGGTTCTCAGACACATTCACAACAACAACTAATCCTCCACATCATTCAGGCGAGAGGTGACAGAGGCAGGAAGTAACAAATCAATTCCACTGCAGAGATCACAGACACTGGTGTCGACTGCGCTGAGCTGAAACTGCTCCGACAGGATTCCTGACACACCCGCTACGAGCCACGGTCAGGTGACACTGAACATGACAGGTATCTAACCAGCCACACCATCACCATTTTTTGCAGTGAGGCTACAGAGATGTGGTCGGCAGTGAGAGGATGTGTCCTCCCTGTGTGGTTGTTACCTGAGCCGTCTCCTGCAGGTACGGTCCGAAGTGTTCCCTGGTGATGTTGGGGAGGTAGAAGGAGGGCATCACCTCCGTTTCTGCAAAGTCCAGGCCCCACGATTTGGTGAAAAAGTCAGACTCCCGCTTTGCAAGCCGGGGGTCGTTCAGCGCGGCGGGGAGGTTGACCTTCGAGCTGTACACCGTCCACCTGTCGTGCTCCGCCACCACAGATGGGCCATCGCACAGGCCCCGTCCCTCACCTGCAAAAGTGCGTGGTCAGAGTCAGACGTTTCATGAAAAATCTAAATTTATATTTCTAGTTTTCTAGAACAATGTAAAGGATGTTTCCACTGGATGTTAAATGAACATTAGCCACAGAGGCTAAGAGCAAAAACTGTGACAGGTCAGAATGTGTTTCAGTAGTGTGCAGTGTTTCCCACCGGTGGGTTCCTTGGGGCAGACGTCAGGCAGCAAGCGGAGAGGCCGGCGGCAGGACGGGGAGCGATCCCTCTCCTTGTGATATATTCCATCTCGGCCTCTACCACCGGGACGAGGCACTGAGGAGGAGCTGTGGCTGGAGGCCATGACATTGGGACACGCCTCCTAAGAGGCTAGCTGGACACGCACAAAAACACACACACACACACACA